CTGGAGCCAATAGCCAAACAACCAACCTTCCCGGCCCTTTCCCACCATGCATAAGGCTGGATAAACCTTCTTGTCCTGTTTTTTTGGTCTACCTTTGCAAGCCCACCAAGAAAAATTAAAGATGTAGAAGGCAGTCCCTCTGCAGATGTCCCTGACTCATGCGGCTGACAGCAGGCAGACCCACACCTCTCCCCTGCCCACACCCAAAGGCCGCATACCTGCTCCTTGGCTGCTGGGGACATGATGAATCGCTGTACAAGGGAAATGCTGCCTGTCCCCTCTGTGGCTATCTCTATTCTACAGACACCAACCATCTGAACACCTCTAAATCTTCCTGGTAAAAAAAAAATCAAAGCCACAATCCCTATGGGAAAATCATAGCTCGGATAAATGCAATGAAACCTCATTCACACAATTGTGGCAGCTTTGGACTTCATCAATGTCACATAACACGGGTGCCATAAATCCCCATACTAAAAACCAAGACACATTGATGCTAACTCGGTTTTATTTTTGCTTTCTCACTTGTCAAAATCCCAACAGCAAGCCAGACTTGCATAAAATATTCAAACTTTATATAGAGCCACAATTCTTTGTGAACACAGCACAAAGAACTCCTGTGTGGCCCTGGTTGGAAGAGACCTGTTTGGAACGGGAGCCCTCACTGCATTAATTCTCTGGCTGCTGCCTACCTACAGCTTCTGCAACGGCGTTCGTTAGTTAAGTTAATTAGTGAAAGAAAAATCAATAAGAGGTTTAAAGCAAACCAGGTGAAGCTGGGGAAGCTGCATGGTGGAGCAATGCCATGTCAGCTCTGCCTTTTGCATCTTTTGCTGACATTTCTGCTTGCTGAGTGCTGTTTTGGTGGGATGTACCTGTCCGTACTCCCTGCCTGGGGGAGCAGGGCTGTGAAGCGCTGGGACTCCTCGCCCATCACAGCTGGGCAGCTGGGAGGCCAGCTCTTTCTTTTTTAAGTTGCAGCGTGGCTTAATACCATGGCACCGAAAGGAAGAGGAGAAGCCAGGCCACCCGTGAGTTTTCTATGTCTTATATTTGGCTGTATTTCTTTTCTCTTTTATTATGTTAGTCAGGTGCTAAACAAATAAAATCAATTCTGAACTTATAAAAAGCAATTGGAAATGTCTAGTCTTTTATAGTGAAATCTCGACTGCAGCAGCCCACAGCACTTGGAGAAAAATCAATCATCGTTTCCATCCTGCTATGCGTGCTACTAAAATTAAGAATTAATGTTTGGCTGCAAAGGAAAATTATTTCAAGAGAAGCACCTTAGCAACAGTTTTCAGTGTTCATAAAATTCTTGTTTATGGTTCTTCTCATAACAGACAAACTCCTACATTCCACCATGAATTATAAATATTAATGGGAGATCCTGATTTACATATAGTTTCCATCTTAATGGGCATCAAAATTGCAAGCAGGGCAACAGCACCACTTATGGTAATAGCAAGTAGTAAACAAGTCCTCAGCCTAAAGATGTCATAAACCAAAGTGTTAAATGCCCCTATAATTAAGCCTCCCCCCCATCCAAATGAAACTTCACATTATTTTGCTGGTGGCCTTTTCATAAAGACAGAAAGCCTGATGAGCTGGAGCGGGGCAGCTGAAGAAGCACTTCATTCTGATGGGGCCTAAATATTTTAGCAACATGGTCTGTCCATTTGAAAGCACCGCTTCCTGCATCTTCTTTGATTTATTGCATCAAAGCCCATGTAACTCATATGATACCATGTGCACATCACATTAATATTCCTCTAATATATGCCACAACGACACTGAAAACCCTTTTCCCCCAAATTCCATCCCACCAGCTGTATTTGTGCTTATTAACAAACATGCAGGTGATTGCCACGCCACCACCTAGAAGTCGCCGTTTGTCCCACGCACAGGGGCTGAGCAGCAGCAGCAGCCCGGGCTGCCCAGCACCCTGAGCTGTGGCACGGCACGCTCCCCTCACGCATCCGGACCTGCTCCCACCCAGTTCCCGGCAGCCAGTTTTCTCAGCCCCTCTCTGGTGGGGCTTGTGGTGACAACAACAAAGTCACCTTGCTTCAGCAGGGCTTGTGCTAAACCTGTGGCTGTGTCAGGAGGGAGAGCAGCAAATGCTCGGGAGGAGGCAGCCCCGTCTGCCTCCCAAACCCTGGGGAGCCCCCGGGTGCTCAGCTGCGTAACATGGTCTCAGACATGGTAAGGAGGGGATGAGCACTGCACCAAAAGCAGCTTTTTCACAACCACCTCCGTTTTGATCCAGCTGGCTCTCCCAGCCGCTGCTCTCAGGCCTGTCAGTCCCTGGAGCAGCAATTCAGTCCCATTTACGCCCTCCTCCTCCTCTGCTCATCCCTTGTTTTGGTCTTTGCTATTCACAGCCCTTGCAGGTGGAGAGACAGGAAGTTATTTTGCAATGGACAGCTCAATTCCATTACAGTTAGCGACACTTTTTCCTGTGAAAATATTTTACTAATGCTTAGTGGGGTGCAGTGACTAATTACCACACTTCAGTGAGTGCAATTAGTGCCCCTGATGTTGCCTCCTCGGAGTCCACCTCCTCCATGGTGGCGCTAGGAGAGCGCTCCCACCTTCCCGGCTGTCCCTTTGATGCCAGTAGAGAGATGCTGTACAGCTCTGCCTCCGCCTTGTCCCATTTTTCTTTCAACTCACATACTGCATCTGTTTCAAAAATACTTCAGTCAACTTTTAGAATTCAATAACTGACTTGGATAGAGAAATTACTGTTCTGGTATATGGCAAATGACAGTGGTCTAGAACACTGTTAAATTTAAGTCTGGAAAATGAACTTTAACACAATGCGCTCCAGTAATGTACTGTGACAGCTTTTAGTGAAATCAGCTCCAGTAGTTTGATTCGCCCAGAAACGCAGCGATATACTCCAGCAGCCTTGAGCCATGGAATAAGAAAGCAGACAGCTTTATGATAAATGGCCCCAGAAACCTAAATTACAGCTGCAGCAAATGAACAATATGTCGAAATTACTGGGTGGTTTTTGTTGCCTCCGTGCTGGTACACGGGCAAGCACTGACACCTAGTGGGACAGCCCCGGGTGAGGAGCCTTGGGGCGAAGTGAGTTTGTTTTACGGAAGAATATCTACGGACAGCCCTCCCTGATGCTCATCGGCAGCACAAGACGATGAAGCTTTGGGTTATTTGTGCCCCTTCCTCTCCTGCGTGCAAGCTGCTTTAGTTTTGATTTCTACACGCGGCACCCTTGCCAGGCAAAGGACTGGCTTATCACCCCTCGCTTCCACTCTCCCACCTCGCTCCTCCTCACCTATGGGCACAGATGGGGGAGATAGGGAAGGATTTACTGTGGATTGATCAAGGTCTAGAGATGCTGGTGTGGAGAGGTCTCTGCCAGCCGCTCTGTTCCCTGCCCGTGGCACGGGGGTTGGACCTAGATGATCTTTAAGGTCCCTTCCAACCCAGACCATTCTGTGATTTTGTTAAAACATAACCTGCTGGTTAAACAGCAGGACGCTAAAATTAGTGCGGTCACACTGGGAGCGCGGGCTCTGAAATCCTCCCTGATGCGAGCCACAGCACTGGTGCTGCCAGGGGACCCACTCCTCTTGCAGGGAAGCAGGCGGCTGCGAGCCGGGCTGCCTGGGAGCCGGTCCTGCTCCGGTGCGAGG